TCAGTGGCAGGCAGCCATGGACGCCGAGATGGCTTCCTGGAAGTCCACAGGCACCTACGTCGACGAGGTTCCCCCGCCTGGGGCGAACATCGTCAGTGGCATGTGGATCTTCAGGGTGAAGCGGCCGCCGGGTTCTCCGCCTGTCTTCAAGGCGCATTACGTTGCTCGTGGCTTCAGTCAGTGACAGGGAGTTGACTTCTTTCAGACCTTCTCCCCTACCCCGAAGATGACCACTCTTCGGGTACTGGTGCACGTAGCTGCTCAGCGTGACTACGAGCTCCACTCGCTTGACTTCAGCACAGCCTTTCTACAGGGCAGCCTGCACGAGGAGATCTGGCTGCGCCGCCCACCTAGCTTCACTGGGTCGTTTCCAGCTGGTACCCAGTGGAGCCTCCGGCGGCCAGTCTACGGTCTCCGCCAGGCACCTTGTGAGTGGCACGACACACTCAGGATGACTCTTGCTGCTCTTGGTTTTGCTCCTTCCATTTCTGACCCTTCTCTGTTCTTACGCACTGACACTACTCTGCCGCCGTTCTACGTTCTCGTGTATGTAGACGACCTTGTCTTTGCTACTGCTGACACTGAGGCACTCGCCCACGTAAAGTCCGAGCTGCAGAAGAGACACACGTGCACAGACCTGGGTGAACTGACAAGCTATCAGCGCTTCGGCTTCACGTACTCCTCGCCACAGTCCACTCCTATGCCTACCGGTCACTCGCTCTCAGCTCCACCTTTGGACGAGTCCGTAGAGCCGAGTGGCCCGTATCCAGAGCTTGTGGGCTGCCTCATGTACCTGATGACTTGCACACGACCTGACCTCGCATACCCTCTCAGCCTTCTGGCTCGCTACGTGGCTCCCGGCAGGCACCGAAAGGTGCACTGGGATGCTGCGAAGAGGGTGTTGCGATACTTGTGCAGTACATCGGGCATGGGGCTCGTGCTTGGAGGACGGGCTCGAGTTGTTCTCACTGGTCACGTAGACGCCTCCTGGGTTGACGACTTGACTATGCAGCGGTCGTCACAAGGTTACACCTTCAGTCTTGGCTCCGGTTCTGTCTCTTGGCGGTCTACCCGTTCTTCTTCTGTTCTCAGCTCCAGTTGTGAGGCTGAGATCTACGCTGGGGCCATGGCTGCACAGGAGCTACGCTGGCTCACCTACCTGCTGACCGACTTGGGAGAGGCGCCTCGTTCTCCTCCAGTTCTGTACGTCGACAACAAGGCCATGCTGGCCTTGTGTCAGGAGCACAGACTGGAGCACAGAACGAAGCACATTGCTCTGCGCTACTTCCTTTCTCGAGAGTTGCAGCAGCGCGGTAAGCTTCGTCTTGCCTACGTGGCCTCTCAGGCCAACACTGCTGATGTTTTCACCAATGCACTTCAGCCTTGTGATCATCAGCGTTTCTGTACTGTGTTAGGCCTTGTACCCACTGTACCTCAGTTGTTGACTTCTTGTCTCTGCTTGTATTGTACTCTATATTCCTATACCCGCATGCTTACACTTGCTAGGTTGTGTTCACTATATTGTTTGCTTTCCTTTATATAACTCTGCATGTGAACTGGCCTTATGGCCCTTTGCTTGTGCTCAGACTGCGTGGTGACTTTGTGATCCACCCTGAGCTTGCTTTACCTTCTTGACTGGTCTTGTGACCCCTTGTTCTCCCCCACTTTGCCTATGGGGGTGTGTCAAACTTATACATGCTATAATCTGTTTAGGCTGTAGTGGGGTAGTCCTTAGAGGGTACAACACTTTTGTGTTTTCTACTTGTACCCCACTTGTTTCCTAGTTCAATCATTCTTCTCGTTAATTCTCACACCATCATCATCCTCTTCATGAGGTTGTAGCCGCGCGGCAGGCCCTTGACAATGTGGGAGATGTAGGACGCCGTCGAGTATTCGGCACCCGCCATCCGCATCTCAGCCAGAATCCATCGAGCACGGTTGCAGTAGTCCGTCGCCGACTCCTGCTGGCCCATTCGAATATGAGTTATCTTCTCCTCCAGCTGTGCGATGTACAGGTCATCCCTGGCCTGGTACGTCGACAGGATGAAATGCCATGCCTGGTGGCCCACATCCAGTCATTCTCGACAGCTCCTGAGCGCCAGCTGCACTACCGGTGAGCAGCACCTCGAGATGACCATAAAGGTGAGCAAGTGAGCCGCACGAAACTCCCCGCGTAGCCCGACATCGTCCACGGGCGGAGTGGGCACTGTGCCTTCGGCGAAGCCCTTCAGCCCGGCGACCTCCAGCTGAGGTTCGATCGACTCCCTCCAGGTGATGAGATCTCGTCGACCTTGCAGCGGTGCGACGGTGATCCGGTCCGGCGAGAACTTGAAGTAGCCATACGTCGATGCGATCCCGCCCGACGTCACATGCGTCGTCGCTGAGAGCCCTCCACCGCTTTGTAGGGGTGAGCGACGTCGACCATCGATGTCGGCAAGCGCCTGACTCCTGTCGACGCCAACGTCGACCTTGAGCACTCCTCTCTGCTTCGTGCCATAGTTGCCGCTGACTCGTGCACCGCCGTCGACCTCGTCGTCGACGCCACCTTCGTTTTGCACCGATCGAGGAGAAGAAGGACGGGAAGGGTGTTCCGTCGCCCACTGCGATCGGATGCCCAACTCGACGATCAGCAAGGGGATCGTCCCGTACTCGCCATCCGCGTGGCGTTTCCTCGCATCAGCCAAGCGTGCCTCCAAGGTGTTCGCTATGCCCGCATTAGCTACGGGGTCGACCATGGTGACTATCGCTGCTGCCGGCCTACGAACGACTTAGTAGGTGCAAGAGTCGGCTCCTATCTGAAGGTTGCGTGTTCGATCCACGCTCACCGCACCATGTGGAGAGTCACTCTACAACGGTGGTGAGCTAGACTACGAGGTTGGCACGAACTACTAGGAGTGATCGTAGCTTTCCTAGTTCCTTAGTGCTTGCACAATTACGGGAGAAATCGGCAAGAGTTTTCACTAGCAAAGTTGGAATCATTGAATTGTTGAACAAGCAATGACAAGAAAGACTACATCAGGCACCTAGCAACTCTGCAGCTAGCCTGGTCGACAGACAGCACAGCATGGTCGACCGCGTGCCAGCGTTGCGTAGAGGAGCCGCGCCAGCACTGCAGAAAGGCGACCTGCCAACACAGCAAGTCGACGGTGTGCCAACGCTGCAGCGGAACGGCTGTCCAGCGTTGCCCCGTAGAAGACAGCAGTGCGCACGCTCGCAGGTGCATGCAGATGATTGGCCCGACTTGCACCGTTGCGCATCCGTTGGCCTTTGCCTGCGCATGACGAGCCACATCGACTTCCGGATACCAACCCGAAGTCGCCTTCGCCATCGCGATTTCGACGACGTTCGCGTGCCTCCGCAGAATTCGTCGAGCAGGTTACCTGGTCGACCTGGACAACCCTAGGTGCTTTGGTCGACTACCAAGTGCCTCTGGTTGACCACCGGGTGCCCCTGGTCGACCACAGCTCCCGTCGAGCTACCCCCTGGTCGACGGACCCCTTCCATCGACCAGAACTGTCAGCTGTTGTCGACAAGCTCCCCTCGTCGACGGCTGCTCACTTCTCAGGTCGACGGACTGCTCCGTCGACCTCCCGGTCGAACTGCCCCTCCTGGTCGACGGCCCACCCGTCGCCCAGATCAGTCAGTTACAGCTGTCGAGCTCCCTGGTCGACAGCAACACCACAGCGGTCCCCTGCAGCTCGACGAAGCCTGTCGAGTAGCTCTCCCACTGTGGATGGTCGGCCGCTACTCCCGTACATCCGACCAAGTCGTCGGCGTTGCCCAAGCGAGGGCGGGGCCAACACTTCATTCCCGTTAACATCGGCGTGGATATTCCGCAACAGAAAAGAAAAGCGGATAGCCAGGGCGTTTTGCCGGAACAAAAAGGCACGTGATGGTGTCCATGGACGGAGTCTTACAACAAGCGAGGGTGTGCTCCGCTGGCCAAGCGTCAAGTAGCGGTACACTGGAAGGGAATGTTGAAAACATATTTTATATAAACTGTCCTTTGCATTAACTGTAGTGTAGGCTCATACTTTGTTTGTGGTGCACCCCTATCTCTTGCCTATATGTACTGTTGTTCCTATAGTGCAAACATCATTCCTTCTCAACTTTTCCTCTCGACATTCTCCTTGGCTATGGTTTCTCCTAAGCCTCATTTCACCTACTATGCTAACATGCTATCAGAGTAGGTCGCTTCTAGAACCTAATGTTCATGGGCCGTCACCATCTAGGCCCCGGCCCGTCGCCCTTTGGCATCGCCCCTAGCCCCTAGGCTCAGCCCCTTGGCCCCGTCACCCCTAGCCGCGGCCCCTAGGCCCCGTCGCCTTGGCCCCTTGGCCCCGTCGCCCCTAGCTGGAGCCCCTCGGCCCCTTGGCCCCGTCGCCCCTAGCCGCGGCCCCTAGGCCACGTCGTCTCGGCCCCTCGCGACCCTAGGCCCGTCGCCCCGTCGCCTCGGCCCCTTGGCCCCGTCACCCCTAGCCGCGGCCCCTAGGCCCCGTCGCCCCCAGCTGCGGCCCCTCGCGACCCTAGGCCCCTTCGCCTCGACCCCTTGGCCCCGTCGCCCCTAGCCGCGGCCCCTAGGCCCCGTCGCCCCCAACTGCGGCCCCTCGCGACCCTAGGCCCGTCGCCCCGTCGCTTCGGCCCCTTGGCCCCGTCACCCCTAGCCGCGGCCCCTAGGTCCCGTCGCCCCCAGCTGCGGCCCCTCGCGACCCTAGGCCCGTCGCCCCGTCGCCTCGGCCCCTTGGCCCCGTCACCCCTAGCCGCGGCCCCTATGCCCCGTCGCCCCCAGCTGCGGCCCCTCGCGACCCTAGGCCCCGTCGCCTCGGCCCCTTGGCCCCGTCGCCCCTAGCCGCGGCCCTCGTCGACCCGTCGCCCCGTCGCCCAGTCGCCCCTAGCTACGGCCCCTCGCGACCTGCCGCCCCTAACCGCGGCCCCGTTGCCTCTAGCCTCGGCCCCTCGCGACCTGTCGCCCCTAGCCGCGGCCCCGGTGCCCCGTCGCATCATGGAGGGTAAGGGGGTGGCAAGAGGGGTGACGGTTTCTTCCTGCCCGCGTGCCCTGCAGTCGCACGCGCAGCTCCGCCCCCGCCCCCCTCCCCCCCCTCCCCCCCCTCCATGGGGACGGGGGGGAGAGGGTGTGAGGGGGTGGCGGATGTGCCTCAGCAGCAGCAGCTGCCGCCACGCCTCCTCCTCTCTCTCTCCCTGCCGCACCTTGTGTTGGGGGGGGGGGGGGGGGCTTGGAGGTTCAGGGGAAGGCAGGAGGGGATCTGCAGCACCAGCCCCCCCCGCCCCCCCTTTCTCCTCCATCCCTGGGGGGTGACGGATTGTGGAGCAGCAGTGGGGGGGAGGGGATCTGCAGCACCAGCCCCCCCCGTCCCCCCCCTTCTCCTTCATCCCTGGGGGGTGACGGATAGTGGAGCAGCAGTGGGAGGGAGGGGATTTGCAGCATCAGCCCCCCCCCCGCCCCCGCCCCCCCCTTCTCCTCTCTCTCTCCCTGCCGCACCTTGTGTTGGGAGGGGGGGGGGCTTGGAGGTTCAGGGGGAGGCAGGAGGGGATCTGCAGCACCAGCCCTCCCCAGCCCCCCCCAGCCCCCCCCACTTCTCCTCCATCCCCCTGCTGCGGGTGCAGCGGTGGGGGGGAGGGGATCTGCAGCCCTGTGCGCCCTGCTGCCCTGTTCGCCCTGCGCGCCCTGCTGCCCTGCAGCCCTGTGCGCCCTGCTGCCCTGTGCGCTCCGCGTGCCTTGCAGCCCTGCGCGCCCTGCAGCCCTGCTGCGCCCCGCGCGCCCTGCTGCCCTGCTGCCCTGTGCGCCCCGCGCGCCCTGCAGCCCTGCGCGCCCCGCGCGCCCTGCTGTCCTGCTGCGGGTGTGACCAGCCAGCAGCCGTCCCTCCACCTCTTCTTTCTTCCCCCCCTGCTGCTCCTATTGCAGTGGGGTAAGGGGGGAGGGTGAAGGGGTGGCGGAAGGGGTGAAGTTCGGAGTGGCGGCTGAAAGAGGGGTGCGGTTTTGGGGGTTGGTTGAACAGGGGGGGGGGGTGAGGTTTAGGGGGGGTGGCTGAAAGAGGGTGTGGACTTGGAGGTTCTTAAGAGGGGCTCGCCGCGCTTGGCTCCCCCCCCACCTCCTCTCCTCCCTCTCTCACCCCCCCCCCCTCTGTAAAAAGGAGGTTCTTAAGAGGGGCTCGCCGCGATTGGCTCCCCCCACCTCCTCTCCTCATCTCTCTCTCTCTCTCTCTCTCTCTCTCTCTCTCTCTCTCTCTCTCTCTCTCTCTCTCTCTCCTCCTCCTCACATGCCTTCTCCTACTGCTGCGCTCTGCCTTGGGTGTACCCCTTCAGGGGGTGTTGACTGCACTGTTTATTGCTTTGAACAGTTTAGGGGGTGTGTTGAAAACATATTTTATATAAACTGTCCTTTGCATTAACTGTAGTGTAGGCTCATACTTTGTTGGTGGTGCACCCCTAGCTCTTGCCTATATAACTGTTGTTCCTATTGTGCAAACATCATTCCTTCTCAACTTTTCCTCTCGACATTCTCCTTGGCTATGGTTTCTCCTGAGCCTCGTTTCACCTACTATTCTAACCGGGAAGACACAAGTATGGAGAGTAGAACAAGTACTGAGTGTGAGAGCATTCAATATCATAGCATCCGTGGGGGAGTGAGAGCAATGGCAGCAGGGGAGTGAGAGCAACGGCAGCAGGGGGGTGAGAGCAACGGCAGCAGGGGAGTGAGAGCAACGGCAGCAGGGGAGTGAGAGCAACGGCAGCAGGGGAGTGAGAGCAACGGGAGAGGGGGATGTGAGAGCAACGGCAGCAGGGGAGTGAGAGCAACGGCAGCAGGGGAGAGAGAGCATCGGCAGCCAGGGAGAGAGAGAAACGGCAGCAGGGGAGTGAGAGTAATGGCAGCAGGGGAGTGAGAGCAACAGGATCCGGGGGGAGAGAGCGCAAAGGCACAGGGGGAGAGAGCGCAACGGCACGGGGGGAGAGAGCGCAAGGGCACGGGGGGAGAGAGCGCAACAGGACGGGGGGAGAGAGCACATTGACACGGGGGGAGAGAGCGCAAAGGCACGGGGGGGGGAGAGTGCAAAGGCACGGGGGGAGAGAGCGCATCGGCAGCAGGGGAGAGAGCGCAACGGCACGGGGGGGGAGAGCGCATTGACACGGTGGGAGAGAGAGCAACGGCATGGAGGGAGAGAGCGCAAGGGCACGAGAGGAGAGAGCGCAACGGCACGGGCGGAGAGAGCGCATCGGCAGCAGGGGAGAGAGCGCAACGGCACGGGGGGAGAGAGCGCATTGACACGGTGGGAGAGAGAGCAACGGCACGGAGGGAGAGAGCGCAAGGGCACGAGGGGAGAGAGCGCAACGGCACGGGCGGAGAGAGCGCATCGGCAGCAGGGGAGAGAGCGCAACGGCACGGGGGAAGAGCGCGCATTGACACGGTGGGAGAGAGAGCAACGGCACGGAGAGAGAGAGAGAGCGCAAGGGCACGGGGGGAGAGAGCGCAACGGCACAGGCGGAGAGAGCGCATCGGCAGCAGGGGAGAGAGCACAACGGCACGGGGGGAGAGAGCGCATTGACACGGGGGGAGAGAGAGCAACGGCACGGAGGGAGAGAGCGCAAGGGCACGGGGGGAGAGAGCGCAACGGCACGGGCGGAGAGAGCGCATCGGCAGCAGGGGAGAGAGCGCAATGGCACGGGGGGAGAGAGCGCAACGGCACGGGCGGAGAGAGCGCATCGGCAGCAGGGGAGAGAGCGCAACGGCACGGGGGGAGAGAGCGCATTGACACGGGGGGAGAGAGAGAAACGGCACGGGGGGAGAGAGCGCATTGACACGGGGGGAGAGAGCGCAACGGCACGGGGGGAGAGAGCGCATTGACACGGGGGGAGAGAGCGCAACGGCACGGGCGGAGAGAGCGCATTGACACGGTGGGAGAGAGAGCAACGGCACGGGGGGAGAGAGCGCCTCGGCAACAGGGGAGAGAGCGCATCGGCAGCAGGGGAGAGAGCGCAACGGCAGCACTGGAGAGACCAGAAGGCTCACAATGGCGAGCGCGGTAAGGTATGATGGAAGCTGAGAGAGAGCGCAACTGGGATGATGAGAGACGGTGACGCGAGGCGGTGGTGTTATTGAAAGAAATTGTCTCACTCCTAGTGACGCCACACAATGCACTTGGCGAGTTAGGATCCAAGACTAGGATCGCTCCGACGGGCTCGGAGCAAGGAATCCGTGGCACTTTGAATCTCTGTAATCGTCTGAGAATTGAAAGAGATATTGCTTATAATGCAAGGATGGGTACAAGTGACGAGTTGAAGTTAACTCTCTGGAATTTGCTCTCTGGTTTTATAGCTAAAACATGCAAGCACAATTGTAACATCGAACCGCGCGCGACTTGCCGGAAATTCGGACGCAGGATCGCGTCCAATTTTCGCGACGTCCGCGTTCACAATTTCGGACTTTGCCGGGTTCGTTTCTTCACGCCGTATCATTTTTGACTGAATAACTGATGGGTAGGTAGGAATAATGTAACTGGTTTTGACTAATAATAATACTGCCAAATTTACGTTATATTAAACCCGTGCAAATTAATAAAATGATGTATCATTAAAAATCAAACAAATTAGTCCAATTATTATAAATTGTTATTTCTCATACTGTAGCCAATTAGTGCCACAAACGCGACATAATATTCGAACTCATTAGTGTCACAAAATATATTCATGATTCATTTTTTACGTACGTGAATGAAAAAATTCCACATTTAGGTAACGGTAACCCTACTTGTTTCCGAAAAGCAAGGAGCCAATCGCATGAGCGCGCAAACATCTCACATGCACTCCTGAAACTGCCGAACGCCACCGTCTTCCCCCCCAGCCTCGCCAAATGCTGGGAGGTGAGGAAACTGCCTGGCACTCCCATCCCCGTAACCTGCCTGTGAAACAAACGCGCGAACACAACAAAAACGGGCCTACTATGGCAGTTTAGGATCTAAATTGTAGCAGAAAAAAATGGTCGTAACCCGCAGTTCACACGCTGCGCGGAAACGGACAGTTTTGGACAATACAACACTCCACTTACGGGGTACATGGAAAACAACCGATTCAACACCAGAGTTTGTGCCTCAACGTCCCAATACTGCCTAGAACTTTACACACAAATTTCTTGATACTGCAGGATCCTGCCGAATCCCTGGTTCTGCTGAATGCAAAATCAGTTCTCAAAGTTTACACCACAAACTGCTCATTTTCCACTGGCGGAAACATTTTTCCCCTACCTTTTTCCACATCTTCGCAGGGTTGATGGTAGCCAGAAAGAAAGGAGCAACACCAGCGAAATAAGCATTCGAGCATCTCATAGGAACCATGTCAGATTGCACCCGCACACCATCAACAGTCATGTCCAAACCCAATATATAGGGTTGCTACGCAACCCAAAAACTTCCCTCGATCGTAATCCGCATCTCTCTTTCCCCATCCCCACCCCAACCACAGACATCCCTTTTTCCCTATGTGTTGCCCCACTCACGAAGAAGCACATGAGTAAAAGAACCCAAATGCAACACACATAGAACCCCCCCTCAAGATACCCAATCAAAACGCCGAGTCAAGACACCCCATCAAGACATCCCATCCCACACCCCACCCCCCCCCCCCCCCCCCCCTTCAATCACAACAGCGTATCGACCATGTACGGGGCCTCTACCCAGAGAGCCCCGCCTTCCACATCGACATCGTCCCTCTCCCGGTCCACCAAATCTACGTTAATCCCCCCCACGGAAGACGCCGCTCGAAGCAGGATGACACGGGCTTGCGCACGTTGTAACGCCACCCCGATGAGCGCCTTCAGTGACCCTAAAAGATAAGCCGAAAACACAGAGTCGTCCTCTCGACAAGCCCCCCGCGACACAGCTAGCCCCACGTGCGCATCCCCCTGCTGACGAAGCCACCGCTGAAAACGACCGCCGAGACACCCCCACGTCTCAACTATCAAAGGGGTGAACTGCACGCCCCGGTTGCGTGCAAGCAGAGGCGCGTAATCACTCGTTTTGTGACGCTCCCACTCCCTTGCCGCCACACCTATTTGACGCCCACACTGTCCCAGCAGTGATGGAGACAGCGATAGCGGGTCCGTGACGCTGATCTCTAGGGCGTGAGCCTCTCCAGCCATTGGTCGTCGCACCGCCACATCAACCCGCTTCCCCTGCAGCACCACACTATCCTCCATTGTCACCACCCCCCCCGACGCCTTAGAGATCTTCGCCACCGCAAACTTCACCTCATCATGCACCCGAGATGGACCATGCTGGTGCTTGCATCTCAGGGCATGGTGCGGGTCTGCTGGGTCAACATACGCTGTGCCACAAACACACCTCCCCGCCACCTGCAGCTGCTGAATTGGGAGGCCAAGCCGTATAGTAGCAGCGATGCCCCACTCAGCCGCAGTGAATGTGAGATCTGAGTGAGCCGGAACCGCCGAAACCCATGCACCCGCCCCCGGGCCCTGAAGGGATGTGAAACGGGCCAAGGTAGCATCGTCACGAGCCAAGCGGCGCAGTGCCTGGAGCTCCTCTACAGCTAACTGCCGCTGCCGCGCCTGGAAAAGCCGAACAGGAGGGGCCGCTACACACAGAGGTAAGCCCGGTATCTCGTGGCGGATAGTCGCTGGCAGCTGCTCAAGAGCCTTGACAAACCACGGGTCAAGAAACTCTGCCCCTGTCGAAGTGGTGAGGAGCAAGCTGAACGATGGACGATAGGCAAATGGGCTATTACCAAGGATCTCATTCGCTAAATCCAGGGCACGCATTACTCATGTTGCTGCTGACTGCATGCAAGAGTACAACCTTGGAAACATGAATGCCCTGAATGCATGCCAGTCACACCACCTTCTCGAGCCATCATAAGAGACTATCTAGGCCAGGAAGAGCACGAACAATGACGACATGGGTGCTGCTACTTTTCAGATGGGCTGTAGCTGGTTTAATCTGGTTATATTGTGCTACCGCGTGTTGCAGTACGGCCACATCGATTAGAGAACGGTGCAATTCTTTTCAGCCGGGCTCTCGCGTGGTGAAGACGAAGGGAAGCAAAATGTTGTAGGTCTTGCGAAATGGGGTCCCTCGCCAGTCGAGAGTTACTGAATCGTTCCATTACTGCGAAAACCTACCCTTGATCTACGAAATGTCAGATCTTCGCTCAGGGAACATCCAGAGGAAACCAAATTTGGTCATGCGCTGTGAAACCCATTGGTCCGATATTGAATGTTTCAATCACACGTGACTATAAGGAGGGAGTAGAGGGGTTTAGGATTATTGCGGGGATTATACCCCGTCCTACATAGTGACACAGGCTGCTTGTGACTCCACCTACTCCATCGAGTTGCGTTAAAACCGGTGACTCTCAGTGACCTTTCATAGTCATTCTCGGCAAACTCTTCTCCAATGGAATCCATTCACACTATGTCAATGACTCGAGTGCTCTGAAAATCAGATCCCGCTTCTTCCGTTCCGTCATGGCTATGGCTGGAAGGCGCCGTCTTGTGAGCATTCGGCAGTTATGGCCGATTCTGGGTCGTCGATTTCACTCGCTCCTCCCTTCCGTCAGCCGTCCATCTGCAAGTGAGTTCCCTCAAGCATCTACTAACTTCCGTGTCGGCACGTCGAGTTCCGGGAATCACGGAACGTTATCAGAACGTGTACGAAATATCGCGCCAACCGCACCTGGGGGAAAATGTTGCGAAAAGCTTTCAACGAGCGCTGCAGCGAACTTCCGCGCCTTAACACTCGATCGCGCCTTTGTTCCCGCCAATAGTATGAGGAGTGCGTCTGGCTTCCCGATCATTACATCCTGGCCGTCGATCGCAAGCGTTCGCTTCTGTAGCAGTTACCATGCCGTTACAGCAGTCCCTTTGTTGAGAGAAACAGACGATCGTAAATCGAGCCACTCGGGCTTGGTCGAATCGGCACGTGACCTGCAGCTTCGGCGAAAGTTCCACTCCGAACCGTGGGACTCACTCTCCGACGGTACTAGGGCTTCAGGCGACCAATCACCGGAAAGCTCTCCGCGTCGCGGCAAAAGATCGTCCAAGATTTCCAGAACTCGGAGCAGAAACAGTTCAGCTTCAAAGGGTAGACCTGCGAGACGACCTCTTGCCGAAGCTGGAGCCTTGGACACTGTACTCGCCGAACCTGAGCCTGGGACGCTGGCTTTTGCGAATGAGGATCGGAGTTTAGGTTTGTCGGAGGCTCGGTCTGCTGAGCCTGAGGGCTTCGGGCTTGGAAATACCGAGGGAGAAGCGTTTGGAATGTCCAGAGCGATGAGAGAATGTCTAGCGATTGTAGAGAGTAGAGTGAGGCGAAAGACCAGGAAGGCAAGAAAGCCGAAAAAGACAGTGAAGGATGGAGAGACCGGAGGGTCGGAATTTGAGAGAGGCCCGGTTGATGTCACCGAGGCTGTGAATGTCATTGAAGAGATTTTGTGTGACAGGTTCGGGCCAGACGTGATGAGGTTGGATGGGGGAGAAGAAAGTATGAATGTGTTAGTATGGGAAGGGACCGGCAATCATGGGCGGAGGACCAAGGTGGGGGAAGAGGAGGCCAGTCAGGAGGGGAACGTGGATAGAAGCGAAGTCAGCAGTTTAGGTGATACCAGCAGCAGCAGCAGCAGCAGCAGCAGCAGCATCAGCAGCAGCAGCACCATCACCATTACCAGCAGCAGCGATAGCAATGATACCATTACCGACACCAGCAGCACCAGCACCGGTCCCAAGTCCCGTCGAGGCCGGCCCAGGCGCACCACAACCCACGGAACCCTCATAAACCTCTACGAATTCTTCTCCTCCCTTGGCATTCACGACCCGACCGTCGTTGCTGGCATCATCACCTCCTGTCCGGCCTTCCTCAAACCGCAACCCCTCTCCCACCTCCACCAGAAAATCTCGTTTCTCAAGTCTCAGGGCGTTTCTTCTAGCGACATTGCGAAGCTGATTGTGCTGGATGCTGGGTGGTTACGGTCGTCTTTGGCTGGGTTACAGCAGTCAGTCTTGTTTCTGAGATCCGCGGGGGTTGAGGAGGAGATGTTGGGAACGGTGCTGCTGCTTTCCCCCCGGTTGCTCTGCCTTCCCAGTGCGACTATGGCAGAAACGATGCAGTTCTTAACGGGGTTGTTGGGCGAAGATGCGACCACCAGGGTGCTGCTTAAGTTCCCCATGGTTTTAACTAAGAACGCGCGGAATCTCGAGCCTAAGATTGAGCTCCTGGGAAGGATGCTAGGGGCGGGTCTGGTGAATAAGATTATAGAACGGTTCCCGCCGGTGCTAAATGCGAGCTCTGCTTCACTCGAGAAGAATTTTGGCGAGTGGTGTACTGTGTTTCAAGGAGTGAAGAGACTACCCGAAGGCCTCAGGTGGAATCTTGGTGACTTGACTGCATACGAGGAGCAGAAGTTAGAGGAGGAGAAGAAGCAGGGAGAAGGAAGTGAGGGAAGGGAGGGGGAGGGGAAGCAGGGGAAGGTGGGGAAGGAGGGGAAGGAGCTAAGCAACGGGTTGCTTCAAGATTCAGCAGCAAGGCACGTTGTGTGCCAGTTTGTCACCTTCTGGCCGTACGCTCTGTTTTACAACTGGCAGCGCAACATTGCCCCCAAGCTGCATTACCTACAGCACAACATGAAACTGCCAGTCATTGAGCTTCTTAGATTCCCCACTTTTCTGACACTTGGTTTGAACCGACGAATCAAGCCTCGACACCTGGCGCTAAAGAAGAATGGATATGTGGTGAAGCCGCATGAGGAGGTGCTTGGGAGTAAGAGTGTTCATGGGGAGGCTGAAGCTGGTGCAAAGGAGTTTGTGTCTGGGTTTGGGAAGGAGCGGAAGGCTGTGTGTCTATCGCAGTTTCTTCCGTGCAATGATGCCGTGTTCAGGAAAAGGTTTCTTCAAGTAGGAGAACAGCAAGGGGCTTCAAGTGCTTCTCCCTTACTCAGTAACTAGTAGTCTGTCTCATGGAAATAAATTGTGGTCTTTTATAAGCAGGCAGATCAGCTTTACTTGCTAACATGATGTGGCAATTAGGGATATGCAATATACATGGTACCAGTATGGTCTGTCAGCACAAACAAGACAATGTCTTGCTTGCTTGTTCATGATCCAATATTTCATGCTCCCATTTGCATGATTACAGGTGACTGAAATGGTATGGCATTGCTTGGCATGCAGTGGCACAAAAAACGAAATTATTGTATGGCATTCATTCTTCACAGAGCACCTAGCCATGAGCTGAATGCTTGCTTAGACATGGATTTTCCCTGATAGACTGGCATGTTGACACTTAGACTTTCAGCTATGGCTGATGTCATATCCCCACAGAAGGAAAGAGCGAACTTTATAGCCAAACAGAACTCACGATAGCGCATGGCGCCTCCATTTTTCACACCGTGCCCCACCTTGCCATTGGGTAAGACCACCAGGCAGCCCTGTCTCCAGGGCCTCAGATTCCAGGAATTTTACCCTGATTTCCTGATGTTTTACCCCGGTTTTTTATTGTAACCCTGATGAATCAGCCTTTTTGTTTTTACAACCCTGATGAATCAGTGTTTTTCTTTTCCTAATCCTGATTTTCCAGTGTTTCTAGTTTGTCGACACTGACGAGTCAGTGTTGTATCGGAGACGACCCTGAAACCGAAAACTCCGTGATTCTCGCAGTTTTGCGCGCCGTCATCATGCATGAACCCACCCTGCACCGACGCCACCCTGCGGCGCGCCCAGATACAGTTGAACGGGTTAATTTCGGGCTGTGTTGGCAAAACGCGTAAAGAGATTGGCTGTCCCAGCTGAAGCAATGTACCGTTGTCACGTTGGATAACCTACACTTGTCATTACTTTCCATTGATGTGCACAAACAACCAAGCCTAGTGGCCCAGTGGGCCAGTGGTCTGCCTTGTTCTTTCCACCAAGGCAGGGCGTGCTGGGGCGGCCCGCTCAGGCACCCCACGCAGGGGGTCTCGTGATTCTGCCATTCCAGCTCTCCAGACTCCATCCCTTTCCGAAACATCAATCTCTGCAGTCTCCCTGAAGCCAGCTCTCCAGACTCCATCACCTCCCGAAACATCAATCTCTGCAATCTCTCTCCCAGGGTTTCTCGTTACTACTCACCGATTCAGGAAGGTGACGTGAACGCGCCATGGCGATCACCGGTGAGAACAGCTGCGGTGATGATGACGACGATGCACTTTACGCCGCCACCGAGATGCTGGAGGCCAGAACGGGACTAGATTTTCTAGTTTCCGCGCTCTCCCATGAAAAAGAGAAGCCAGGTCCCGTCGCCTCAGTAGCAAACACTGGTGAAGCGTCTGGCCTCTGCCGCGGAGACGATCGTCCCCAGCCCGCGCATACTGCTAAGCCGGCCGTGCCGTCAGCAGCCGGACCGAGCGTCCGCTTGCCATCTCGTGCGTCGTCGTCGAAGCCTCCGCCTCGTTACAAGCAGGCCGTCACTAACCACTCTGATTTACGAAGAGGCCCTTGAAACGTTCAAGTCGACGTGGTCGACCGACTACCCATGGCTCATCCTCATAAAAAAACACTGCTGGCATGCTTGCGTTCAAGTGCAGATTGTGCATCGACTTTGCAAGTGACGGTGGCAAGTGTGGCAAGAGTGGGCACGGTGCAACCGATCTTCAGACCCAAGCCTTCAAGCGGCATGCCGCGACGAACAAGCACCAGTTGGCCATCAATCACCAGAAGCAGATGCTAGCTCAGGCTGGGAAGCAGCCGCGAATTGACGAGCATACGCTCGCCAAAGATGACGAGACGACCCGCGTCATCAGCCTTCCGAACTCCCTTCACTTCACCACCCAGAACCATCTGCCGATGGAGACGTGGGTGCGCCTCGTTCGCTACATGGCTCAGAACGAGGTCCGCGGCTTTCCCAAAAAGGGATACGGCACTTACTACACCACGTAAGTGCTTACGAGCGCATGCATTAAAAGCCTCTCCTGTTCACAACCACGTAAGCCTAACAAATATGTTCGGTGTCTATGCAGGTACGGCTTTGGGGAACTAACACAGGCAACGGCCGTGTGGCTGCAGACAACACAACTCGAACACGTCCTACAAAGCCACTACATCGGCCTCAGCTGTGACGAGTCTACGGACAGATGCCGTGGGAAGCATCTCATCATCTATGCCACATTCATCCGCGACGGGGCAGTAGTCACCGAGTTCTTTGCCCTCCTAACCGTGGACAGGGCAGACGCCGCATCGCTGGTGGCGTTGCTCTTATACCATGTCAATGCCGTCGGCATTGACCTGCGCCGAATCACGGGCATCAGCACCGACGGGGCGAGCGTCATGGTCGGATCCAAAAACGGGCTGGTGGCGAGGCTGAGGACGCGCGTTCCGCATCTGGTGTCCTGCCACTGCATCGCTCACAGGTACGGTGGTTGATGCAGTGTCCGATGCGACTGTTATTTGTTATTTGAACATGGTGTCCTTCCTTCTACTTAACCAAATGCGACTGTTTTTTGTTTTAATCGCAGGGAAGCACTCGCGGCCAAGGACGCGGCAGAGTCCCTACCGGAGTTTGGCATGGTCGACAGCTTCATCCGCTGGCTCTCCACCTACCTCGGCTCATCAGGACCCTGGCACCAGCGCTTCCTGGACCTTCAGGAAGTCTTCACTCAGACTAACCTGGAGCTCCAAGGAATCAATGATGTGCGTTGGCTCTCACGCGGGGATGCAGTCTGCCGACTTCTTGCAGTCCTTCCGGGGGTCGTCGTGATGGTGCACGAGCTGGGAAACAAGCCCATGTACCAAATGGTGACCAGCTACAGATTCCAGTTCATGCTGCGCTTCCTCGCTGACGTGCTGGAACAGCTGAACGTGCTCAGCAAGACGTTCCAGCATCGACAGGTGAGATCCTGCTTTTGCCTGTGCATCCCTGTGTGCCGTGAGGACTGTGGGTTTAGGGCCGCTAGCTACGGCTAGTTCTGCTTCATGATTGAAACATGGCTGTGCTTTCCCTACTGTTTTTGTGTGGCAGATTGACCTGCTGGCGATTCAAGGCCAGATCCGTCGCACGACAACCCACATCAACAGCCGTTATGTGGATTGTGGCGACGACTTCGGCGGCGGCCTGAGCGAGAAGCTGTCGCCCTTCATTGCACGACATGGACCGAATGGGGTGCGGAGAGTGGAGGTCGAGTGGGTTGACTCCGACGGCCGGCCCACTTCTCACTGCTACGTGCTGCATGATTCCCCCCTTGAAGGCTACCCCATTGCAGGGACCCATGAGCGATGCGTGGAGCAGTGCACGGCGATGGCGGAGGCGCTCGTGCATAACCTGGATGAGCGATTGGGTTCACTCGACAAGCTGAGCGGTGTGAAGCTGTTCATGCCCGACGAGTGGCCCCATGGACGGCAGGAGCGTTCCATGGTCTGCACGGAGCACCTTGAGTCCCTCACGACGCTCTTCAGGGCCCAAGAGTGCGACGAGATCGTTCCAGGTACGTACTTCTCTTTGGTCTGTGCATCGTTGTTTGTGCTGCTTTGTTGTGTAGCACCTAAACACTGGCACCACTTGTCTGGTGAGCCTTGCTTACCTTGTTCTTTTCCTTGTGCTTGCGCACTCCCTGACTCCCTCCAGGTGTCAACAAGAAGAAGGCGTTCAAGGAGCTCCGCACGTTCTGCACGGTTCTCGCTGGAGCCCCGAAGTCCGAGAGAAAGTTCTACCCGGGTCTCTCGGCGATGCTGAAGTCTCCTGACTGGGAGGACGCGTACCCCAACCTGGTGAAGCTGTGGATGGCTGTCGCTGTGCTACCGTTGAGCACAGTCGAGTGCGAGCGGGGGTTCTCGCGTCAAAACATCATCAAGAGCTGGCTGAGGGGTGCCATCAAGGATGCGCGGCTGTCGGACCTCATGTGCATGGCATTGCTGCCGTACGAGCCCGACTGGGCGGAGGTGGTGAAGATCTGGAGGGCGTACAAGAAGCACAAGCCCATCACAACAGTGGCAGCACCAAAGAAGCAACCTAGTGCTAAGGGGAAAGAGAAGGTGGACGAGGATGATGCTGGTGGTGCTGGCTCTGGGTGGGGGACAGAGACCCCCGTGCACAGGCACGGTTCTATGAGCGATGGTGGTGGTAGTGACGAAGATGAAGACATGTGTGTGATGTGAATTGTGTGTGCGGTGTGAGCGCCAAGTGGTCTGTGCCTGTAGTTAGATTAGAAGCTCATTAGAACCATATTTGAACTTTTCTTAACTTATTATACTTGTGATAGTTGTTGTGGATTCTCACCGCCAGTGTTTTTTTTTAACTCACGCTGATGTGTCAGGGTTTTTTTTTTTCTAACCCTGAGAAATCAGTGTTTCTCCATTTACAACCCTGATGATCAGTGTTACAGCCCCAAAGGACCCTGAGTGCTCAGGGTCACCCAAAACGAATCTGAGGCCCTGCCTGTCTCATCTCCTCAAGGGTCTTGTACACCACTGTGTTGCAGATTTCATCCTGGTGCTTACTTTTCTCTGCTGAATATTGTTGGAAAAACATGCGAAGGATTCGTGTGACCCTGGCATTTTTATCCTCACAACACCAACACACCCTTGAGTCGTGGTGAATCAAGAGAAGAACACAAGCAATAGACTTACCTGATTTTCTCTGGCGGCTTGTATACATATCTCTCCAACATTTCCGACAACAAAGGCTCTACATCTTCAAAGCAGTCATGAAGCAGCAGTCTTCCAATGCCAACCACAGCCACCGCTTGCATCTTCATGGATGGCGAGAAAAGGTGAGACAAGCACGCTCGCTGGACTTCAATAACTGGGAACTTGTCATGGTAAAGAAAGATAACATCAAGTTTAACTTTCAGGGCGTGAAGTCTTATGTCGAAGTCTTCCAACTCCAAGGATGTGTCAAGAATCGACTGCAGCTGGAGAAAGGCGTTGAATGAAGAGAAGCAGCAAGCGCCTATCAAGTTCAGTGCTTGCTGACGCAAACGGGATGATGGCGACTGGAGCAACGACTCCAGAATGCCCTCGAGCCGTCCGTTTTCAGACGCATTGGAAGGCGTTTCACAAACGAACTGCAAATCAGATTTCAAGTGTCAGACGTGAAAGCACTCACCAAATTCTTCGTGGATTTTTTGCGATTATCAGACCTTGTCCAGGTGCGGCTGGGAGTGAATCGCAAGAAGCATCTCCTCCATGAAAATGCAATCTTGAAGGGTGAAACCCCGCTCCCTTTGACGGGAACACATCGCCTTGTCCACTAATTCTACCATTGCCTCTAATTTGTTGTGAAGGTATTCTTTTGCCGTGCGAAAACAAGCTGTTATCAGGCGAACAAACCGTTCATTTTGATGAGATGTTAATGACGGATCTAGCGATCGCTCAATCAGTCCCTCCGCCATCGCTTGACGAATGGCATCTGGGAGCTCAACATTTGTTGAAATAAGGACTTTCGCAATCTCATGGAAAGCTTGCAAATCATTGCAAGTTTCGAAGAAATTTCGGTCGTCGAGAGTAGGAAGAACAGTTTGCAGGAGCCGCTCAGGATCGTGTTTCTGCAAATACCTAGCATAAAGACCCAGCAGCTTCCAGAACGCAGGACCCTCAGATGAAGGCGTCTCCATGAATTCCAACAGCGTATTCCGAAAGTACGTAAGGAAAACTTGAAGGATCAGAACACCAAGCCAGACTAAACGAGAAGTAGGGAAACATTGGATTCCGGACTGAGTTGAGGAGGGGGGATCGTAGATCCCAAATCCAATTCCCTAAGACATTCGTACACTTATCAATCCAAACACTTTTTGCCACCACGTGCCATACTGCATTTCCGATCACCAGCAATCACCAACTTATAGCAAAACCTGCACAATTATGTGAGTGATCGCTACGTAGAACACGCCTTCACAACCAGAGTCTGAGCAGTGCCTAGGGTTTGTTGTAGAGGCGTCTCCTCTACTTTGCAGGAACTCTAAGTTGCACTAAACGATAGAGCACAGTCTTGGCTTTCCAACAAGCCATCAAACACGTTAATCGCCCAAGTATACGCCGAGATATTGGCGTTCACGTGATTGCTAGTGCTCTTAGAAGCAAGGATAGACCTCTCTGGAATTTTGGTTCGAATGGACCATGTACAAGAAGATTCAGGATTTCAGTATAAAGCATGCATACAAGGCAGGTCGATTTATAGCAAATGCATTACATCGAACCGCACATGTAACATCACATCGCTACACTCGCGTCGCGAATGCGCCGCGTGTAACATTTCGGTTGGGGTGAAATTCGACCACCGAATTTCACACCGAACACACCGAATTCGCCTTGCACTTGAAGGTTGGAATGTGGTGCCGCCACGTGGCACCGAAGGGTGAGTCTCCCGAAGTCAATCGGTGCCACCCCACCGATCCCTAGTCAAAGGGATCGAAGGCACCGAAGTGCCCTCGGTGGGTTGGGGGCATACCACCGCCCCACCACCGTTTCCTTCCAACACTCCCCCTTGCACCCAAGCCACTAGGTGTTCATACCAACACGCTCACGGCATGCACGGAATGAATCCTTAGGGAGTGGTTTAGTGAGGAAATCCGCGGGTTGCGCCTTGGTGCTTATGTATGTGACCTTGACCTCACCTCTCTCGACCACCTCACGAATGAAGTGATGCTTCACCTCAATGTGCTTGGTACGCCCGTGAAGGACGGCATTGTGAGTGAGGTTTATGGCCGCTTGGTTGTCACAAAAGAGAGGAGTTGGGTCGGCTTGAGGATGCCCAAGCTCCGCTAGAAGGCGCCGTAGCCATATTGCCTCCATGGCTCCTTGAGTGAGTGCCATATACTCCGCTTCCGTTGTGCTTAGAGCCACGGTTGGTTGCAACTTGCTTTGCCAACTCACGGCTCCCCCAAGCAAGGTGAAGACGTACCCGCCGGTACTCTTGCGCTTGCTTTGATCACCGGCATAATCCGAGTCGGTGTAGCCCTTAAGCACGATTGGACCGGCTTCATATACGATTCCCAAGTTGGGTGTGCCTTGGAGCTAGCGTAGAACACGTCCTCCCGCACGCACATGCTCGGTATGAGGGTTGCTTACGGCTCGTCCAAGTACCCCGGCGGCGTATGAGAGGTCGGGACGGGTGGAAACGGCGGCATACATGAGTGAGCCGACTAGCGAATGAAACCGCTTCCCTTCGGCTTCGTCGAGGGCGGATTCTTCCTCTCCCGGGAGGCAAGAAAATCTCGTGTCTACTGGCGTCCCCACCGGGTTGCTATTGCCCATGCCGAAGCGCTCCACAACCCCTTTCACATATTTTTCTTGGTGGAGGTGAATGGTCCCGTTCGCGCGGTCGCGGTCGACGTGCATCCCGAGGTAGTACGTCACCGGTCCCAAGTCCCTCATGGCAAACTCCGCCCCTAGCCGTTGCTTGACCTCTCGAATGAGGTCTTTGGAGTCGGAGAAAAGAAGGAGGTCATCGACGTAGAGCAAAAGCACCAATTGCTTCTCCCCCTCCTTCAACACGTACAAAACGCTATCACACACGCTACGCGCGAAGCCGTGTTGAAGAAGAAAGTCGTCGATGCGCTTGTACCATCCGCGTGGGCTTTGCTTCAAGCCATAGAGGGTACGCTTGAGCTTCCACACCCGACCGCTACCGTCATCGTACCCCGGGGGTTGCCGCATGTAGACTTCTTCCATGAGAAGCCCGTAGAGGAAGGCGGTGCAAACGTCCAATTGTTCCACCTCGAGGTTGAGAGATGCCGCTAGCGCGAGCAACACCCGAAGAGTGGAGGCCTTCGAAACGGGAGCGAAGGTCTCACTATAGTGCTCCCCCTCCCGTTGAGTGTACCCTTGCGCCACAAGCCGCGCCTTGTAGCGTTCGACACCTCCATCGGCTCCCAATTTCTTCCTAAGCACCCACTTGCATCCCACCAAGTAGGCACCCTTCGGCGGGTCGACGAGCTCGAAAACATCGTTCTCCTTGATCGATGCTAACTCCCTCTCCATCGCTTGCTTCCATAGCGGTGCATCCGGGGAAGCCAAAGCCTCCTTGTGAGTGCGTGGGTTATCGTCGCCGATGGTCGCTAGGCAAATCGCCGCACTCTCCTCATCCGACTCCCCAACGGCGACCGTAGCATAGTCGGTTAACCTCGTGTTGGGGCGAGGTGTACGACGCCCGCGAGTCAACGCCAATGGTAGGGAAGAAGGTGCGGAGGAAGTGGCCTCCTCGGTTGGTGGCACCTCCTCGACATCATCATCGCACTCCTCGTTCTCTCCCCCTCCACTTTCGGCTCCCTTCTTCACGTGCGGTGAAACCTCCACCGCTTCATCCTCCTCTCGTGCGGGAAGGACGACGGTGAGTTGCGGCGTTTGTTTCTTCCTTGGCGGGAACTTGTCTTCGTCGAAGATCACATCCCGAGACGTGACGACGCGTTTTTCATCCAAATCCCACACTCGCCATGCACGCTCGTTCGCCGCAATCCCCAAGTAGATCGCCGCACGAGCTTTCGGTTGCAACTTGTGGCGAAGTGGATCCGGTACATGGTAGTAGCAAAGGCACCGAAAGGTGCGTAGGCGGTATAGGTTCGGCTTCGTTCCGGTCCATGCTTCGAACGGAGTCGTTCCCGGTAGCACCTTTGTTGGCACACGATTACGAATCCATGCCGCTAGCGCACTCGCCTCTCCCCACCACTCGTTCCCAAGCTTGGAGTGTTGAAGAAGTGAACGAACGGCCTCCACCAATGTGCGATTGAGCCGCTCTACCGCTCCATTTTGTTGGGGTGTGTAGGGTGTCGTGACGTCGTGCTTAATGCCCTTGCTTTTCATCCATTTTTCAAGCTCGTTGCTCACGAATTCGCCGCCACCGTCGGTGCGAATGCACTTGATCCGCTTCTTGCCGTCGTCGCAAACGTCGAGCGCCCACTCTTGAATCGCCTTGGCCGCATCTCCCTTAGCCTTCAAGAGTCGGGTCCAACTCATCCGCGTCGCGTCGTCGAGCATCACTAAGAGGAACCGCGCTCCTCCCTTTGATGCATGCCGCATCGGTCCACACACGCCTTCACAACCAGAGTCTGAGCAGTGCCTAGGGTTCGTTATCCGTGGTTGCCTTCAGCTGCTTGGGGATGCAGCAAAGCAGCACATGTAACTACTACAGCTGATTCAGAAGTCCATTTGAGCTCTGAGAAATGGCTTTCTCGTATAGCACTACATGTTATTTGCGTTGCTGCTCGGTACGCCGCCCTCTCGTCATGGTACCTCGCGACCTTACCGCGAATCAGCAGCTACCGTCAATAACAGCGAAGCGTGGACCAGAATCAGCAAAGGCTCGGGCCAGTAGCAGCGAAGCGCGGGCCAATGGCAGCAAGCGCGCCTACCGTTCAAAGAAGCTCTGATCGTGTTTACCAGCCTCCGGAACCACCAAGCGAACAACTGGCGACAACAAGCTCCTTTTTTTTCAACTGGCGTTGCTGGAGTTGACAAAATGTGTGCGGGCGTGCAGGTGCGTGTGTGTTACGCTATGCATTCGTGCGCGCATGCATGCTGCTGTGCGTGGGCGAGGAAATGTATGCATGCAGTTCCGGATGAGCCAGGAGCTTTTCTTATGCTTTATTTCAGGGTTTTAGTTCAGGGTTGTTCAAGGTTTAGGGTTCACGAAGCCGTTTAACATACATGCGCCGGTGCTCATGTGCGGAACGCATAGGCCCGGCTCGCCATCGCTTTGATCCGTTTAACCATTTTCTAAGCACCCAGTATTTTGTTGCATACTTTCTCTATGCATGATCTTACCCCTTTTCTCGCTCCTCGTCTTCCAACCTCCCCCCCATTCCCCACCCAACCCTCCTTTCTTTTCCCAAGCGACCCATTTAGCTCCCCTGTCTACAACCCCTCTCCTCTCAGCCACTCCCATTCTTCCCCCTCTCCCCTTCCCTGTCCTTCTCCTCGACACCCCCCTTTCACTCCCCCCCGCCCCCCCCCCCCCCCCCCTCCCCTCCACACCCTTCCCATACTCGTCCCCTCATTTCTAGGTTCTCTATGTTCTAGCACCTTCTTGGGTTCTAAACCGCCTTAGTCTAATCCTGTCTTTTCCCCCCATCCCCACCTTGCACCCCTCATGGTCTACCTTTGTAAGATTAAAAAAAAATACTCTCGCACGCATGCAGGTGGACATTCATACCACCGTGCGGGTTTGCACCACTGAGAGTGAAACAGGAGACTATTAGGTCGGCCAAGGCCCCAGGTGCTACCTGCGATGAAAATGGTATGCTACACGTCACAAACCATGTTTGAGGCATCGTGAGTCGTGACTTTGTCTGACACACAATGAGAATGCCTCATTTGACATCTACCATCCCTCATTGGCCATCCGCATGTCTCGTACGACCCATGCAACGTGCCCCACCAGCCACCTTCGTAGCTTTTTCTGTGGGATGCCGTGTTATCAGTATTTCATGTACTTTTTTGTTTTGTTTCACTTGCTATATTGTTTTTTTTTAGCCTCACCACTTGCCCTACCCATTCTGCTCCCCGTAGGCCTGTTAGCATCTCCTTCTTGTTGTCCCTCCAACCCCTCTTTTTGTTCCTCGTGCTTTCTGTGGTACATGTTGCAACGGACCTGCTAATCCCATATAATGCTTAACCTTCACAGAAAAAAATATGGATCCATGTGTTCCAAGCATGGTTGAGCAATACGGTTTTCGTAAAATACGGTCCGTATTTTTAACCCTGGTTCCAAGAAGTGGTGCTTCCGTCCACCTCTCCTGACTGCCTCTTACGATACCCCTCCTCGCAAGAAATGTTGTGAGAGGGCACATGGGAGGCATGATAGCGAACACAGCAAACCTACGGATTTTTGCTGGTGATGGATGCGTGGTTTATGTGATTCGTGTAAAACCACGTGTCATGTCGCAAGTGCATCTTCCATGGCGCTGCTGTGTGTGGGATAGTATCACGCTTCAATGCAGAGAGAAGCTTTTTGGCGTATAACATCCTCATACAAAACTCAGTCTTCTCGTCCATTTCGTCCCTCCTATTGTTGACTCTGCGTTCGTGGTGCTACATGCTTCCCTGGTGTCACCGATTTCCTTTTTTTTTTCATGGGTGTCTTGCCATGTTTGGATTGTTCAGGTTTGTTATGTATTTCCCATCCGCATCCCCTTGTCCACCTGACCAAAATCCTGAGCAATCGTCGTGCTCCTGTTTTTTTTTTACTTTCCCATTTTGTATGAATAGTTACATTTATTTCATCCCCTTCCCCCTACTTTTCCCTCGTTTCCCTGCCCTTACTACCATACCGTACAAGGTGTACTGTACTTCATGCGCTGATTAAGCTGGCTTCTGCAACTGGATGGAACAGTGGACAAAATCTATCTGCGAATCAGCAGCATTGCATTGTGTCTGGTGCTACACTTGATTGTTGTAACAAAACGTCCATGTAGTGTACCACAGAGGTAATGGTGAGACACGCAGTCCTCCTACCTTAACTGAGAAGCTTATCTAGCAGTGCAAACCACAACAATCAATCCCTGGTGAAGTTTTGTTGGCCTCACTCAATATCCAAGTTTCTTGGCAAGTTTGCCAAAATGGTTCCCGAATAACTTCACATTCAGCGGAGTGAAGTGCTGCAACAAATGGCCAAGAACGTCAATCACACAAGCATAATGCAAAAGCAGATATTATGATGAAGTGCAATCACCTCTTTCCATGAATCTTGCTTGCGCACTTGGTGCATGCCTGAGTCATGCATCAACGAACGGTACTCAATGGTCCAGATCCTAGCAGTGCTAATGAAACGTTCCAACTGGGGGCCCTGTAATCATTGCATCATCAACAGAGGGCTCATACAGTATTGAATGTAAGAAAGATTCATGAGCAGGCTTACCTGAAGCCCATACCAAAGTCCCAGATTGGTTAGACTCAGAGATCTCTCGCTCCAAAGATCCTCATACTGCAAAAGAGCAAGGATGTAAGAGAATGTGAGAGTTAAACAGCATGATGACTGAAGTGACAAACCTTGAACAGCTTCAAGCCTTCAGTCATGGCAACTCGAGCTGGAATGCTCGTTGCAACACAAGCATAGTGGAGGGGCCCGCTGCAACCTTGCTCGCTTAGGGCAGCTATCACGTAGTTTATGCCTGCCTCCTTAGTCAGTCTGCAGATCTTCTGCAGGCAACAGAGCAGATAATGTCAAGGATCTGCACCTTCGCTTTCCTCCACAGCACCATATGTAAATGACCAATGTGCTTACCTGAGCTTGAATGACTTTTGATTTTGCGGAACCAACTCCGTCGTGGAAACGGCCAGGCGATCTGCACTCCAGTTGACCCAAAAGCCATTGCTCAAGGATGATGGACCTTGGATCGCGTACTATGAGTGTTCCTTTGTAAGGTCTGGGAAGTTTAATCAAATCTTCGTCATTATACTTCTCTACCTGTCATCCGAACATACGATAAGAAATGTTACCAACGTAAACCACAAGAGCGTGCTGAGAACGCCTGAAGCATATCTGCAAAATTACCTGGAAGACATCAAACGAGCAGTCCAATGAGTCTGAACCGCCCTCTCCGAACATCAAATTCTCGTCATTTGAGAACGCTCTAAGAATTTCTCGCCACCAGCCAAGACCAGTCATTGGCCCAGCAATGTTGATCAAGGTGTGATTCTTTCCGGACACAATAGGGCCCTCCTTGATTGGCGCCAGTCGTTCTTCGCAAATTGATTCTTCATCACGCTCTGCAGTCAGGTGGACTGCGACGGAAAGTAACATTAAGTTACCCATTGCGACAGTGCGATACTGCGAAAAATACCTCCCTTAACATACCTGCTGCGGAGTAGTCAATTCTGTGTGTGCTCGCATACATTAGACTCATGGATACCATGGTGAAAAGGCCAAGGAGAATAATAATCGAAAGGGCTGCAGCCAGCCTTGTCTTCATAGTTGACGTTCCTCTCATGCCATACATGGCGAGCGGAAGGAGAAGCGTCACTGCGAATCAATTTGGGATTGAGAACGACTGAATCTATTCCAGGTTAGTGTGAACAACTCATCATCCTCACCCATCATCAACGCCCCCAAGTCCTTCACAAAATCGCCGGCAATCATGGTTGCAACTTGCAAGGAGGAATGCGAATGGCGTAAACTCGCAAGCGAAAGTCGCTGACTGACTGTTCTTGCAGGCTTCTCCCAAGGAATGTAGGAGTGGACTTGTTCAGAGCAAGACTAGAATGGTGATTCTTCGATTTATCATCTGGAGGACTACGAAGAGTTTCCCAAGGTTCCTTTTTCTCCCATATCGTGTCTGCATCTGGTTTCGGTTTGTTTCGTTTTACGAATGATTCGTGTCTGTTTCGCAATACGATTTCCGTACAAGTGTTCGCGAGAAAGAGCCGAATCTTGGGTTCACGCACTTTGCATTGCATTTTGCGTGTACCGTACCACCTATCCAAACGGTGAACGCTTCAATTCAGGTAGCACAAATTTCTTGTTTTCAGTTTCGGTATTGACAGTCCTCGTTACGTGGCGACCCATTCACTTCACTTCCCAGCACACAAAACGAACTTTCAAATAAACCCAAGTGTACCATCTAACTGCAGAAGCAATCCGCCACATCCCTCTCCATCCCTTCATGGCTTCCCTTCGAACATAGCCTCAAGCTTTCCTGCGATTCCCTTCCGCATTTGTCGCCGCTCCCCTTCCAGCGTAGCACTCAGTCTCGCTTCAGCCTCGATTTACGAGCGCACCTCAGATTGCTGGAATCGGCCAAATAGCGAGTGCGTCGTGGAATAATTTGAGTATTAGGTCATCGAGTACATGTGATTCATAATTTGTGCCATTTAGACTGAATCCAAACCTTTTAGACCTGTTAAAATGTCGTCTACTAATCGTTTCTTGTCGTCCGACCGTCCAACAAATGAACCTCCGCCTTCGTCCCTTTCGCGAGCCCAGCTAACTGGATTCCTGGACCTCCTCCCTCCTGTCGACTTCGCCTTCGCCTATGGCTCGCGCGTCTTCCAGCAGCCACCTGTCGACAGGAAAACCCCGCGAGATATCCCACAAGATAGCGATAGACGGGTTTGCGGCAGCGTTCATTCCGAAAATCCTGGAAGCGGCGACGAGAGGAGTACTAGCAGCAGTAGCAGCAGCAGCAACAACAGCAACAGCAACGGCAGCAGCTCTAGCTTTCAATGCGAGAGAACTGACAGGAGAAATCTGTCAGGCCTCCAGCATGCTGAGCATCAATCCTACTCCTCCATCCCTCCGTCATCATCATCTTCGTCCATGGTGGATTTCATCCTGGTCGTTGATGACCCCCTATCCTGGCATGCTGAGGTGAGCCGTTGGATCATTCTAATTTCTGACCGCATCAACGGCATTCGATATTACTCGGATGTGACTCCAGGGCTCCTCGTCCTGGAGTTACTCGTCTTTCCAGTGGTGCTTCTGATGCTTCCAACTCCGGCGGGTCTTTCCTCTACGCAATTTCTCATCACATATTTCCTTCTCCACTGCATGTCACCATCACCCTGCATGACCATGTCAGCTGCGTGTCACCATGGCCATGTCCATGTCATCCCATCCCATGGTTGCATCAGAACCGGAGACATCTTTGCACCCCAGTATTCCTAAGACATCATGACCGACCCCACTGTCCCTCCCTCCTCTTTGCATCTTTCCTTTCCCGCTGTACATCACCATGTCCATGTCTATGTCCCTCCATCTCGTGCTCACATCAGAACTTGAGACATAACCGACGCCATTACTCATCCCTCCTCGCCACCTTCAGCAGCCGAGCTGTAAGCCCTCTCTATTCTTTCTCTGGCTAATCAAGAGCTGAAGGCTCCTCGTATATATCTCTTATGTGCACGGCCCCACCTGCATGTTCCTCGTTGTTTGTGCATCTACGTATGCGTGTAGGTGTCGTTTATTCTGCTCTGCGTCAAGGCTTTTTCCTCACTTCACATTTTCGCCTCACCCCTAGCGTGTGCCGTTTCCCTCTGTTCAAAGCGTTCATTCCGTTTCCATGTCGCGTCGATCTCCCTTTCACTCGTCCCACCTCCTCTTCTCACTCTTGTAAGGTTGTGGCTGCAGCAGACAGGGTGGGGGTGGGGGTGCACTTCAATCCGTTCGTTCCGCACGCACCTCTCAACCAGGTGCTTTGGAACTCATTCCTTCCCTGATTATGCATTTTGATTTGATATTTTTAAGTATACTCAAATGTTCCTCTCGCCAGTCAACCAGGTACACTAGAACCTATGCTGTGCTTCATAGAATCTCTTCTCTTCCCGTGGTATTCAAAGGAATGCCATGAGCTGATCGGATCAAGTAGCCCACACTTGATTAAAAGGCCTGATCCGATCTGCGAGTGTCAACTTGCTTGTTGCATGCCTTGTTCTTGCTGCGCACTTGTGTCCTCGTTGGCAGGTCAAGTACGGAGTGACTGCAACAAAGGCTCTGCAATCAGACCTCGCCACGTGGCAGCACCTCTACATCAGTGGTCGCCTTCACAAGCCTGTACTGCTGCCTTTCTGTGCGGCTCTCTGCCTTGCCTCTTCCTGCCTGAACCCTCTCCTTTCCCCTCTTCGCCCTCACACCCTCACTTTCCCCTGCACCCTCCCTTTCCCCCTCGCAACCTCTCTTCCCCGCTTGCACCCTCTCTGTTCCCAGAGCAACCTCTCTTTCCCTATTGCTCTCTCTTGTTTCCCATTATTATCCCCCCTATGGTAAAAACCCGTTTCTCCCTTAACCCCGTTGCCCACTTGTCTCTTCCTTGCAGTCAGTCTCTCTCCACCTCTCTCCTCCTCCTCTTTCCTCCACTCCAGCTTGCTCTTACCTCACAAGTCGCACAGATCCGCCTCTGATCCTTTCCACCTTCCACTTTGCACTACCCTCAAACAATTAATACATATGCACATGCACACACGCACATGTGCACATGCGTGCGCACCATACACACAAGCGAGCATGCATGGTTCAGACATGCACACATGCAGGCAATCCTCTCTGCACATTAGTGCTACATCATTATTATTTTCGGTCACCTGATTCTCTAGCACAACTTGCTCGTATGAAAGAAAGAAAGAAAACTTGATAAATGTTGCGTTTATGCTTTGGCATATCGGTCTGCAGGTGGAGATTCTTATCCCTCATGATCACATTCTCTCGCTACAATCACACAACTTGCGAGCAGCTGTGGCTGCGGCGCTGCTGCTTTTCCCCCAGACATTCACAGAGGTATTCCGACAGAGCAATTTTTTAGAGTACTCAAGGAAACGCCCACGGAAGCCAGACACATGCTGCAGCTTCTCACTTCGTTTATGATATAGTTTCGGTGGGAATTGTTCAGGCGAGACACCGGATTAGATTTGCACTTAACAAGATATCGGTTATTGTTTCCTTGATATGGCCTTGGCCCGTTGACTTGCCCGTTAATCAATGCCCACTACCAGAGAGGGAGTAATTCCACTGTCCCAAGCTCCAGTGTCTTTGTGCGCCCCTCTCTCGTAACACCCTCACCACCTCAACCGCCCCTCCCCCTCTCCTCCCCCTCTCCTCCCCCTCTCCTCCCCACCCCCCTGGCCCCCTTCCCCCCCCTCCCAACCCCAACCCCTTTTTATTATCTTACCACGTGTCTGCCCTCACTACCATCAGCATGAGCTGTACGAGGCAATTTGTCGCATTTCCTACACAGGCGATGTGCGCATGGCACTGGCTGAAGACCCCAACAAGGTATGTGTGTGTGTGCTGCAGTCTGCATGCCTTCACCACCATCAGCGCGAGCTGTATGAGGTGCGCATGGCACTGGCTGAAGACCCCAACGAGGAACGTGTGCCTTGGCTGGTGATCAGATCGATGGCATCCACAACTTGTAATCTGTCTCAACCTGCCACTCTCTCCTATGTCAAACTCATCCCCTTGTCGTTTTTTCCAGATGCCCGATTCTTCTCAACAGATCCGCAGAACCATCTCCGGTGGTTTGCACCACTCTGAGGTGACTTTTGAGTCGATTCAAACTCACTTGCAACTCTCCTATGTCAAACTCTTTCCACTGTCGCTTTTCCCAATTCCTCTCACCAGATTAGCAGAATTGTCGCCGGTGGTTTCCACCATTTCCGCTCGCTCTATCGCTCCTCTCTCCAGCATTTCGTCAACTCGGGCTGCCTCCACTGCATTCCGTCCACTCCTGCCGAATCTTCTGGAACTGGACTACAGAACAACAGACTGATAGGGCAGGTGAGGAGCTAGCAGGAGTTTATCTGCTGCTCTGTCTTGTATCAGACGAGTTCTGAGGCACCTCAAAACTCGTCCACTCCGGGCGAGTTGTCCCCAGCTAGACCGGAAAGCAACGAATTGATAGGACAGGTGAGTCACTAGCGGCAGTTTTTCACTGCTGCTGCCACTCTATTTAAACGACACGTGAGCTGCCAAGCATGGACGGTTGAATTTAATTATACGCATTTGGAGGGATTAAAGCGCACTGTTTATGCAGTGTCCCCACCTCTCCTCATCTCACCACCTCAGCTCACCATCTCCTTTCTGCTGCCCCCCCCCCTCTGGATCTCTCCTGTCCACACTCTAGCCTAGCGCCTATGGAGGCGCCTCAAATTCTTGAGTCTGATTTGAGTAGAGAAGGGAGCAGGGAGAGGGTAGCGGGGAGCAGGGAGAGGGTAGAGGGGAGCAGGGAGAGGGTAGAGGGCAGCAGGGAGAGGGTAGAGGGGAGAAGGGAGAGGGGAAATGGGAGCAAGGAGAGGGGAGAGGGGAGCAAGGAGAGGGGAGAGGGGAGAGGGTTGCAGGGAGAAGGGAGAGTGGAGCAAGGAGAGGGGAGAGGGGAGTAGGGAGAGGGGAGAGGGAAGCAGGGAGAGGGAAGAGGGGAGCAGGAAGAGGGGAGAGGGGAGCAGGGAGAGGGGAGAGGGGAGCAGGGAGAGGGAAGAGGGGAGCAGGAAGAGGGGAGAGGGGAGCAGGGAGAGGGGAGAGGGGAGCAGGGAGAGGGGAGAGGGGAGCAGGGAGAGGGGAGAGGGGAGCAGGGGGAAGGAAGAGGGGAGCAGGGAGAGGTGAGAGGGGAGCAGGGAGAGGGGAGAGGGGAGCACTCTCCCTCCCCTCTCCTTGCTCCACTCTCCCTTCTCCCTGCTCCCCTCTCCCCTCTCCTTGCTCCACTCTCCTTTCTCCCTTCTCCTTGCTCAACATTTTTGGTCTATTTTTTAGGCGCCTCAAAATAGCCCCCCACTGGATCTCTCCACCACACACCCTGGCTCTAGCACCTTTTGTTCATTCTTCATCCCCTTTATCCTTCCCACCCCCTTTTCCTTCCTGCACACCCCTTGCAGGAGATCTCAACCACTTGTCGCCAAAACCTCATCCAGCACATCCCAGCCTCCATCCGTGGCGCCTCCCTCTCACATCACCCCTTCCCTCCACCTTTCACCCCCCCCCCACCCCCCTTGCAGGAGATCTCAACCACTTGTCGCCAATACCTCATCCAGCACATCCCAGCCTCCATCCGCGCCTCCCTCTCACATCGCCTCCTCCCCACTCCACCCTACCTTCCTCGCTCCCCTTTCCCATCCCACTCTCTCCAAAGCTCAGCCCTTCCCATCTCCAAAAAGTGGGAACAAAAACCAACTAACCAAACGCCCATTCATCCCAGCATTGCCATGTCAGCAGCTCTCTCGCGCCGGCTTGCACTGAGTGTCTCCAGAAAGGTGTTGTGTGCTGAGCTGGCAGCTGAGCTGGCGAGGCGAGTACGCATAGCTAGTGCCAGGCAAGCCGTAGCAGGGGTGCTAGCAGCAGGACCCGCACATGCCATGAGGTATCTCTCCAAGAAGCTAGCCAAAGCGTGGGTGAAAGCCTAGGCGATCCAACCCTCAGCTGGCGCAGTGAGTGCGCATACATAGCCAGTGCCAGGCAAGCAGTAGCAGGCTGCAGGGGTGCTAGCAGCAGGCATCTGTCAAAGAAATGCATGGTTGTTAAAAAAATCCTAAGCGATTCAAACCTGAGCTGGGGAGTTGAGTGCACACAGCCATTGCCAGGCAAGCCGTAGCTGGAGTGCTAGCAGCAGGTCCTGCACATTGCCGTCAGGTATCTCTCCAACAAGCTAGCCAAAGCATGGATATATGCGATTCAGCACTCAGATGGCGAGGCAAGTATGCATTGCCAATGCTAGGCAAGCTGTAGCAGGGGTGCTAGCAGCAGGGCCTGTGCATGGTATGAGGTATCTGTCAAAGAAGCTAGCCAAGGCATGGATGAAAACATAGGAGATCCAACCCTCAGCTGGCGAGGCGAGTGTGCAATGCCAGTGCCATGCCAGGCAAGCCGTAGCAGGAGTGCTAGCACACACTGTGGGGTGTTTTTTGAAGAAGCTATCCAAAGCATGGATGAAGACCTAGGTGAATCTCTTTTTCTAAAAAGTGATGTTTATTGTCCAAGAAATCTGTGCTTATTTTGGTTTGAATGAGATGCCAGTTTGTTCATGCGATGCCAACAATGCCAAGATATGCACGTGACGGAAAATGAGGAAGTGTAACCCTGGCGGAATGTCGATGTATTGTTTAATCTAGGAAGCAGATGTTTCAGGGAAGTAGAATGGTGTGATGGACTGAATGTGATCTCTCTTCACGTCTTCATCATCATCCACTTAAACTACGGTAAGAGTTTTTTTTTTTTTTTATTTTAATGCTACACACCGATACATACTAATGGGTTTTGCACTACTTGGAACCTCTCGAGTGCAGGCGAGTAAAGTGAAGTCATTCCGCGTCAACTCTTGTCCACTTCCAGGTGCCGAAATGGATGAATGCCAACAAGGCAAGGGAACGCGAATCATGATTGGCCACGACGAGTCAAGTAAGACTTCAAAAGAGTCCGCTGGACTACGAACTGGAGGCGGTTCGATTCTAGCCTCCCAAACCCAATCACCACCCCAACCAGTGGTTTGAAATGCGCAGAACAGACCTCCACCAACCAAGGATGCATCACCCATACACAGCACGGCTTACACAGTGGGTGGTTGGGTCTCCTAGTAACTCCTCCTAAACGAGACAAAACTCCAGGGACATCATCAGCATAGCATCAAACCGAGGGTGAAGTGTGACGACCAGAAATATCTTCGTACTGATCGGAACTGTCTCACGGTGTGACCTGCAGACGCACCTTCCCAGGAAGAAAAGCAAATCCATCAACCTACAGTCACGCCTTGAACCGAGAAAACAGAACTCGTACTCATAGTTGATTGGCGCGACAACCAGTAATTGAGGCGGATTGAGATCTCCACATTCCGTTCGGGAGGAAGCTTGGAGGGAACAGAGCTAGTACCAATTAGAGGCGGTTCAGTTCCGCCCTGGAAGGAGCTGCACCGTCCTACTGACGTTAGTAAAAGCAGGAACAGGGGAGGGTCCAACGACTGTCAAGAGGCTAGCGAACAGTGATCAAAACTGGCTCACCAACCAGCGACGTGACGTCCAGAGGCAAGACAATTTAGATCCGAGTCTTTTCTTTCTCTGAAGTTAGTATTAATTTGCGACAGACCGTCACGGTCTATTACTATCTAACCTCCTCTTCCTCTAGCTTCGAGACAAATCAAGTACAGAGTTTGACGTGAAGCTGAAAGTGAGAGCATGATCATGAGCTTGTATATGCAGGAGCTGAATGCCTTCTTTCTTTGAGTCTAGTCCAGCAGTTAATCGGCCTCCGCCGCTTTCCACCACAAGCCTCTTACACAAAATCACGCCAGTACTACAACAAATACCACTAGTAGTAGCATATGGCGACCATGATGAGTCGCAGATCAAGCAAACTCGGCTGTTTTCCATGGCTTCCGGCTCTCGCCGCGAAGGCCATCATGATCGTCGCTCTCCTGTCAGTTATGATCATGATGCCCATGCGGCCGTGCTTTGCAGTGCATCACGTGGCCCAACCAGGTACTAATCTCATTGGTTTACGTCAGGGCAGCTATCACGTGTCAGTTGTGCTCTGCAGTTACTCATATCATCATGTGATTACTCAAGTTTTGGGAACTCTCTTGGGCACTGTTACCTACTCTGCTGTCCATTTTATGTGAGTGCTCAAATCGTGAGAACTCCTCAAAACAATGTGACTTGCAGTCGTGCAAATGTAGGCACTCTCCCCCCAACTCCAAAACCTCCCCTCTGAGTCTCACTTACTAATCCCATCCTCTTGATGCTCCCCTGTTCTACCCCACACCTCCCTTCCCACACCCCTCCCTGTTCTGAGACTCTTTCCCTGTTTCTGCATTGCAGCAGCCCAAAGGCCCAACACACGAAGCACAACATGTGCATTTATAGTCAGTGTCATCAGATCTCAGACCAGCTAACCCCTTGCTCTTTCCTCACTGCTTTTATTTCCCCCATTCCTCCCCACCTCTCTTCAACAGGCGGAAGGCCCAACACGAAGCAGTACATCGTGCATCTATCGTCGGTGCCATCAGTGCTGTCGTACCGGGGGGGAGTCAATGGGCTGCGGGCCACAGCGACTGTCGACGATGAGGAGGACGAGTATGAGGACGAGGAAGACGTGGATGACTTGGATGAAGAGGATGACGAGGATTATGGGGAGATTGGCGATGCTGTTGGTAATGGCAATGGGGGCATCAGTGGAGTCGGTGGCAATGGCACTGCACCAGGATCAGCAGCAGGCTCAGCTGAAGGTTCAGCTCCAGAAGCAGCAGGAGCAGGAGCAGGGGAAGTGGCAAAATCAGCAGCAGGTGCAGCTGCAACAATGGCAGCGGCAGAATCAGAAGAGAATCTGACAGGGTCAGAATCTGGTGAAGATGGCTTTGATGCCGATGTTCAGTTTGCTGCTGCAGCTGCTGCAGAGGAGGCATTAAAGATAGCAGGGTCAGCAGCAGCAGCAGCAGCAGCAGCAGCAGGTGGGGCAGGAAGAGGATTGGGAGGAGAGGGCAGCGGAGGAGGAGGAGGCGGAGGAGCAGTGAGGGTGAGCGCACTGCCGTTTGCAAGAACCGGGGTGGATGTGTTGGTGGAGAGGGTGGGTGAGCGGCTGAGAAATATGAAATCGCGGTCTGTTGGCCGGCGCCTTCTGGCCCGCGTTGCTGCTGCTGCAGTGGCCGCAGCAGCAGAGGAAGCAGCAGAGGAGGCAGCAGCAGGAGCAGCTGGTGGTGGTGCTGCTCCTGAAGCTGCTGCTTCTTTCACAGAACATTTCCAAAACTCCACCTTTTACCCTTCTGCTGTTTCTGCTGCTGTCAGCAGCGTTCGTATCACGCCATCATCTGCATCATCAACAGCAGCAACACCAGCTGGAGATAAGGCACCAATGGCAAGCGGAGCCACGTTAGCAGTGCTGACAGGGCAGCAGCTGAGTGCACGTGCCGCGCGCATCATGCGCTCAACGCCGTGGGGCCGACTCATGCGCCCCGACGTGCGGTTACCACACGTCCGGGCCTTCACCCGCTTCCTGGAAGCTTCTCACCACAGCCTGCTGCAGTCGCTCAAGATCCCTTCCTCAGCCATTTTCCACAGGTGAGGAAGAGGGGGGAATAGAGGGGAGGTTGGTGTGGGTGGCTTGAAACCACCTTGAGTTCCCCAGGCTGGATTCGAGCCGTTGGTCATGGCTCATTCACCCTATTCCCCTGCCTGCTTCTCCCCCAAACTTTTTCCCTGATACCCCCCAGCTACACCTATCTGATGAACAGCTTTGCAGTGCAGCTCACCGCTGCTGAGGCGAGGCGGCTCAAGAGGCACCCAGCAGTGGCAGAGGTGGAGAGAGACCGCACAGTGCGAGTGACCTCGGTGCACTCCCCTGAGTTCCTCAAGCTCGACTCGAGCCTGTGGCCGGCAAATGGCGGGCAGAGCAACGCAGGAGAAGGAGTGATCATTGGGGTGATCGACACAGGGATCTGGCCCGAACACCCCTCCTTCTCCAACCCTGTAAGCCCGAACGTCCAATGTTTAGTAGCTTTACTGATTATAGTGGAGTGATCATTGGAGTGATTGCCTACTTTAGTACCTTCACCTTTTCTGTCGTATTTTGGCGCAGAAGTCGATTTGTCGATTGGGTATTACTCACAAATACCAACCTCTTGCGTCCTTCTCCGATCTTGTTCGTGAGTCCTCCTCATCCTCATCCTCTCCCTTCCGACGTCGTGTGTCTTACGACTTGCCCATCTATTCTTGATGCCACCTTCTCTCCATGTCCCCATACATCTGGCCTTTTCACCCACCCCCCGTTCCTCTCATCTTTCTCACCCATGTCTCTCCTTCCCAGCGCCTCCAATTTCGCCAAATCCCCCCGCCATCCTCCAGGACCCAAATGGAGAACCTTAATTTGCCACTCCAATGCACTGGAGAGGCGTGTGCACCCAAAAGACCACGCCCCCTCCTCTCCTCCTCTTCCCCTAGGACCCAAACGGAGCACCATACTCCGCTGCCCCAGCGCGCTGGAGAGGCGTGTGCACCAAAACAAAGGATTTCACGGCGTGCAACAGCAAGGTGGTTGGGGCGAGGTACTTCCTAAAAGGCATGGAGCGGGAGTATGGCAGGGTGGGCAGCAGATTGGACTACCGGTCGCCACGGGACATGGAACAGCACGGCACATGGTGTGCGGGGTGAGTGCGATATGGTCTGCTTTCCCTCTCTAGACATTTAAGATATGCAGGACATACGGGATATGCAGGTCATGATTGTTTTTTTTTTTTGTTTTTCCCTTCTTTTTGAATGCTGCTTGGGTGTGAGTATTTCCATGTGCGGGTGCTGCTTGGTGTGAGTGATGTGACAATGGGAGGCCAGACTAACGGCCTCCCTAATGGTACAGCAATGGGCATGACATGAGTGTTACAGAAATCCCACACCTACCTAGTCCCCTCCCCTCCTTCCTACCCCTTCAGAGCGGCTGCTGGAAACGCAGGTGTGGACGTCACAATAGGTGGCCGGAACTTCGGCGCAGCTTCGGGCATGGCTCCGCGAGCCAGGCTGGCAATATACAAGGGGCTGTGGATCGCCGACGGTTACCATGGGGTGGGGGTGATGTCTGACCTTATTGCTGCTGCGAACAAGGCAGTAGCTGATGGTGTAGACGTTATATCGTGCTCGTGGGGGGGCATGGCGCTGTATTTCAAGGACATACCCTATCTGCAAGGACTCAAGGTGGGAAAACAGGGTTACATAGCAGCGATGGCAGCCACTTCTGCCTGCTTGCAAGGGCTAAAATTGGGACATTCAGGGTTGTATGGCAGCCTTGGAAGCCTTTTCTGCAGGCAACGATGGAAAGGGCAAGAGCAGCAGGCCTTTGCGATGCTCTCATGCTTCCAAATCTACCAGGTTGGAGGGTCATAGCCTATGCAGCACTCTCATATCTCCCATTCTAACCCTCTCATTCTCAACCTCTCCTTCTAACCCTATCATTGTCACCCTCCTATCCCAACCCTCTCATTCTCACCTCCTATTCCAAGCCTCTCATTACACACCTTCAATTCTCACCCTCTCATTCCCACCCTTTCCATTCTCACGTGTCCAACTTCCAGGCCGGAGTGGTCACGGCCTTTGCAGCCGGCAACGAGGGCCGGCCCAACCCCTGGAGCATGTGGGGCACACTCTCTAACGTCTCTCCATTCTACCTTACAGTGGGAGCAAGGTATGGCTAAAGTTGACGTGGGGGAAGACCCAGGGTGAGGGGTGAGACATTGGGGGGTGGGACGGGGAACATGTGGACACTTATCCAAGTGCCTCTCCCTTGTACCTCACAGTTGGAGCTAGGTGCGGTTGGAGTGGGAGGGAGGGAGAAGTGGGTTGTTACAAGGGACGTCAGTATAGCAAAGAAAAAAGGCCGGCTCAATCCCAGCAGCATGTGAGGCACCCTTGGGAATGCCTCTCCTTTTTTCTGTATAGTGAGAGAAAGGTACTACTTTCCAGTCAACTTATAGGCCATCTCCCCACACCTTACCACTCCCAACCCCCACAACCCCTGCTCCTCCCCACCGCAGCACCATGGGGCGGGAGTACAAGGCTGTGCTCACCCTGGGCGATGGAACCACCTTCACAGGGCGCAGTCTCGGCGGCACCACTGCCACGGCGTCAGATCTGCCTCTTGTGCTCGACACGACTATTGTATGAGATTGAGGGTTTATGGGGTGTCTTTGCCCAGTCTACATGGCTCAGATTGGTGATTCTTTTGGCAGGGTGTAGAGTAAGTGAGGTAGAATTGAAGTACTTAGGTGAGATTTCTCTTTGCAGTCTATGTAGCTCAGCCTGATGTGTCTTTCGATGGGGTGTAGGGCTGGAGAGGAGGATGCAAAGCACTTTTCAGGGGAGACAGGGCCAAAGCAGGTTTCCACCCCATACGTCACTGGTCGCCCTGGGGTGATCTATTCTTAAAGCCTACCTTTGCCATCATACCCCCCCTTCAGTTTCAGAGTCAAATCAAGCACCATGCAGACTTTCGAGCGGATTTAAGAGGCACCTTCCTCTCTCTGCCTCCATTCCCTCCTCCAGAGACCCTTTTGCGATTACTGCGTGGATCCTACTAAAGTGCCTACCAAGTTCCTTGTCTGCACCATGGGAGAGTACATGGGGGCAGGGGACGATGTCTTAGTCCGCTAAAAACCCCTGTCCCTCCACCAGGAACCCTTTAGCGACAATGGCATGGATCCAACTAAAGTGCCTGGCAAGTTCCTTGTGTGCACTGTGAGAGAGTAAGGGGCAAGAGAACGTTTTTTTAGTCGACTCAAAATCCCCTTCCCTCCACCAGGAAGCCTATTGCGACAGTACCATGGATCCAACAAAGTGGTGGGCAAGTTCCTTGTATGCGCCATGGATGAGTACGTGTGGGCTGTACAGAACCCTACCGCACTGCTTCAGGAGACAGACAAACTTGGAGCAGCTTCAATACTTGCGATAATCTATTCGGAGAGAACCAATATGGAAGAAATGGCCTACTCAGGGACTTCCAGCATCTTCTTGAAGTATTCGCAAGGGGGTCAATACATGGATCCAACTAAAGTGCCTGGCAAGCTCCTTGTCTGCACCGTGGGAGAGTACATGGGGCCAGAGAACAATTGTTTAATTGACTCATAACTCCCTTCCCTCCACCAGGAACCCTTTTGCGACAGTGACATGGATCCAACTAAAGTTGTTGGCAAGTTCCTTGTCTGCACTGTGGGACAGTACGTGTGGGTAGAGAACCCTACCTTACTGCTTGGGGAGACGGACAATCTTGGAGCAGCTGCAATACTCGCGATAAGCTATTCAGAGAGAGACGATATGGAAGAAATGCCCTTCTCAAAGACCCCCAGCATCTTCTTGAAGTATTCGCAAGGCGTGGCAGTCAAGCGATACATGAAAACTGCAAGCAGGCAAGAATCTCTTAGTCCCTTGATTTCTTTCTCCCTTGGCTATCAAACACTTGCTGTGTGTGGCCTTTTCTTTCTTCGTATGCATCTTTCCAGGTTCTACTCTATCCCCATCAAGCACCACTCATCCCCCCCTCTCATCAACTTTTCCTCCTCTCTTCCTTCCTCTCATCCCTCCTCTTGTCCCTCCTCGCTTTGTTCCTTTCTTCCCTCCTCTTTCCTCTCCTCACTTCCCTCCCCTCATTCCTCACTTCCCTGCACTCCAACTAATATGTATATACATATAAAAGTACATGCTTTTCAGAGACCTAAATCAAATATTTCCCTCCACTCTCCCTTCCTCTCGTCCCTCTACTCTCCCTTCCTCTCGTCCCTCTACTCTCCCTTCCTCTCGTCCCTCTACTCTCCCTTCCTCTCACCCCTCTTCTCTTCTCCCCTCCCTTCCCTCGTCTCTTCCCTGTTTTTTTTTTCACTCATCCACTCCCCCCGGAACCACCTCTAACTCTGCAAATTTTTGTTCCCTTGCCCTTTTCACCACCCCCCTTCTCCCTTCCTCCTCCCCTTCATGTCAATGCAGCCGCACAGCCACACATTTTGCTTTCACCACATCCTATCCCCCAGCTTCTCGTTCCCCCTCCCCTTCCCCCTCATCTCTCTCCTCCCCTTCACATCACAACAACAGCATAGCAATGCTCTTCGCTTTCACTACCTCTTATTTGGAAAATTCGCATCAACCCCACTATTCCCACTTCTTTCTTCCCTGTCCCCCCTTCCCCCTTCCATTTTCCCCCTTCCCCCATCCCCCTTTTCCCTTCCCCCATCCATATTTCCCCTCCCCTCCCCTTCATGTCAATGCAGCCCCACAGCCACGCTTTCCACTTTCACCGTCTCCTACTCCTCCAACGCCCCCCAGCTCACTTACTTCTCCTCCACCGGACCCCCCCGAAGCCCATTCTACCCTCCCGCGCTTCTCATCCGCGACTTTCCCACCAACGACATTCTTAAGCCCGACGTCATTGGGCCGGGGGACCAACTATGGTCCGCAGGTTCGGGTGAATCGGTCGATACTGCTGCGACCGATGCGCCGAACTTCAATTACTGGTCCGGGACGTCTATGTCGACGCCGCAGTTGGCGGGGATCATGGCGCTGATGGTGCAGAACAAGCCAAGCTGGTCTCCCTCGCAAGTAATTTCCGCGATAACTACAACGGCATACACGAGGAATAAGAACGGGCAGCCGATTCAACAGGCAAATGGAAAGAAAGCGACCGCGTGGGACTATGGAGGAGGGCACGTGGATCCCACACGCGTCTTGGACCCTGGGCTCACGTTTCATGCAGCTCACAAGCAATTCGTGAATTTCCTCATGATGAGGGACCCGATAAGAACGAAGAAGCGATTTTGGCGCATGGGAAAGGCACTTTCAATTCTCCCTTGGAACCTCAACCGCGCATCAATAGCTGTAACTCGACTGCATGGCATTACGGTAGTGTACCGGCAAGTGAAAAACGTCTACAACTTGCAATCTACCTATAGAGCGAAGGTGGTCCCTCCACCGGGCTTTATCGTGAGAGTTTGGCCGAAGAAGATGACCATTCGTCCTGGAAAATCCCGGGTGTTTAGGGTCGCAATGATAAGGTTCTTGCCTTTGCCGGCATTTAGGTTTGGAAAAATCACATGGAGTGACCAGCATGGCCACTCAGTGGCAGTGCACCTCGTAGTTAGGTCTCCGATTTTGCCATGATTGTCACCATACCTGCCTATGATTTCATATCCATGTTTGTCATTGCATGTACTGCAATCCCCCAAAGATAACACTCGAGAGGCTTTGAATAAGGAAGGGGATGTTTTGTTGTGGTTGTGAGGAACCCGCTTTTGGTGCAATCGTCTTATGACCCTATTTTGTTGAATATTGTGCTGTATAAGGGCATGTTCCTACGACCCCTTATCAGGCAAACCTCTCATCAAGCTCGTGTCAAACACACGCGGAAAATTCCCTAAACCCAAAAACCCTCGCTACTTTTACCAGGCAAGGCTGACAAGAGGTTTGCCTGATAAGAGCGTAGGAACACGCCCTTAGACCTTTTTTGCCGAAGCGAACTTTGCATTCCTATCTGAACTTTGTGTGAGATCCAAAGCCTGACATATTTGTCAGAATCCCAGTCACTAGACTACTGGGATAAAAGGGTTTGTTAAGTAGCGGGTCAGTGCACCCATAACCCCCCAGGACAACGAGCCTGTAACCCTTCCCTAGGATCAATCGGGGATCACCAGTGGACCTCTGACACCCCTCTGCACTGGGATGCCCGAAGTGCACACTCTAGAATTCGAAACCCGAGACCTTCGCTCTGATACCATGTCAGAATCCCAGTCATTAGACCACTGGGATGAAAGGGCTTGTTAAGTAGCGGGTCAGTGCGCCCATAACCCCCAGGACAACGAGCATGTAACCCTTCCATAGGATCAATCGGGAATCACCAGAGGACCTCTGACAATATTCAGCATGTCAAATTCGACATAACACTCTCATGTCAGAACATTATAGCTTTTACATTTGTGTAGGCTATAGTGGGGTAGCCCATAAGGGGTACAACCCAATTAGGGTTAGTACTTGTACCCAACTCTTTGCTAGTTCATTCATTCTCGTTCACAACATTTCAACACGGTTTCAGAGCATGTCCCCTAGGACCGGTTTGTTTTTGGGCCCACCACCTACTGCCATGCTAGCCTAGGCCCGCGCCCGTTGCCCCTAGGCCCCGGCCCGTAGCCACCCCTAGCCCGGCCCGTCGCCCCTTGGCGTCGCCCCTAGCTCGGCCCCTTGGCCCCGTCGACCCTAGCTCGGCCCCGTCGTCCCTAGCCGCGCCCCTTGGCCCCGTCGACCCCGTCGCCCCTAGCTCGGCCCCGTCGCCTCGGCCCCTTGGCCCCGTCGACCCCGTCGCCCCTAGCCGCGCCCCTATCTCGGCCCCTCGGCCCCGTCGGTCCCGTCGCCCCTAGCTCGGCCCCCGTCGCCCCTAGCCGCGACCCCGTCGGCCTCGTCGCCCCTAACTCTGCCCCTCCACCCTAGGCCCTAGGTCCCTTGGCCCCTCGTCCCTAGGCACCAAGCCCCCCCCCCTTAGCCCCTCGTGTTTGGCCCCACGGCCCGTCACCCCTCGGCCCCTTGGCCCCTTGTGTACCTGGCCCTGCGGCCAGTCACCCCTCGGCCCCTCGGCCCCTAGGCCCCTCAACCCCTCTTGTTTGGCCCCTTGGCCCCTCGGCCCCTCGCCCCTAAGCACTATTGCCCCTTTGGCCCCTTGGCCCCTCGTGTTTGGCCCCTCGGCCCATAGGTCCCAGGCCCCTAGGCCCCTTGACTGCTACTGCTGCTACTGTTGCTCCTGCATACTGTGCCACTATGGACTCGCTTCGAGTTCTCGCATTCGATCATGACGGTAGACCGGTTCAGTTTGACACGTGGCTCGACGACCTGCAGCTTTACCTACTGGGCGTTATTAAGGACGGTATTTCCCTGTTTGACCACATGTCAGGTGCCGCTACTACCCCTCCCACCACAGCTGACAGTGCGACTCTCTCCCAGTGGCTTTCTCGCAACGCTGCTACCCGCTTAGCCATTTGCAACCACCTGCCGTTAGCCGAATGCGCTCAACCGGACAGCACAGGACCGCACAGGCACAGTACGACGCTGTAGTCACTCGCTACTCATCCCCTGCCACTGCTGCTCTAGGTCGCCTGCTTCTGCCTACCTGTTCCCTGAGCTGTCTGCCTTTGCCACAGTCGAGGACCTGGTTTCCCACCTTCGCGCTAGCGACGCTCGCTACTGCGCTGCAGTCCCTGCTGAGTTCCTTGACAAGAACCAGCCCCCGATGTTCATCACCCTCTACTTCATAGTCACTCGCCTCCCTGACTCTCTTCGCTCTGTCAGGGACCACTTCCTCTCTCTTGACCCCACATACCTCACTGTTGACCTCCTCGAGCAGCATTTACTTGCAGCTGAGACTAGTGCAGTTGCTGTAGGTGCTGCTCGTGGCACTCCGCGCCCGCCCTTCTTTGAGGGGTGCTCCCCCTCCCCCCTTGCCCCCTCCTACGCCTCTGCTGCTGCTGCAGACGTCTCTGTTGCTGAGGACGTCGGGGCTGCTTCTGCTAGTGCAAAGCGCCGCAGCGGCAAGGGCAAGGGTGGCAAGGGTGGTGCAGGTGGCAACGGCGGTGGTGGAGGTGGCAGCGGGAGCAGTGGAGGTGGTAGCGGCGGTGGGACTGGTGGAGGGAGTGGGGGCTCTGGTGGCGGCGGTGGAGGCAGCGGTGGGAGTGGTGGCGGTGGCGGCAGTGGGACTGGTGGTGGTGGGACTGGAGCTCGGCGTGTTGGTTTAGGAGGTGGCCAGCGTCAGCAGCAGCAGCGTCGGAGCGAGACCTAGTCGCCCCAGCAGCTTCGTGAGTGGTTTTTGCGTGGGGCGTCTAGGGGTAGTTGCCCGTATGTCATTCGCACAGGTGACTGTGCTGGTCAGACTTGCGGGCGGCTTCACGCTCAGCACCGCTGCTTCTCCCGACTTGACGACGCTTGGTGTGCTGAGTTTGGTGACGACGTCGAGCTCCCTCGCTGGGCAGATCTACTTAAGTCTAGGACTGCTATCTTTGACCTAGACTTTGATGCTATTCTTTCTGCTAAGTATGCTTTGTCTGTTAGTGCTGAGGGTGACTGTTACTGGTGTGTGCCGCCTGACCCAGGTATAGCTGTTGCTGCTCTAGGTGCTAGTGAGTCTGGTACTCTCCCTGGTACTGCGCCTGCTCAGGCCTTGCACACCTTCACGCTGGACTCAGGCGCCTCGCACTGTTTCTTTCGTGACAGCACCACTCTCACTCCCCTCTCTACACCTGTCCCGGTCCGACTGGCTGACCCCTCTGGGGGCCCGGTTGTGGCCCGTTCCTCAACTGTCCTCCCGTGTCCGGCGGTTCCGTCCAGCCCACTGTCCGGTCTTCACCTCCCCTCGTTCTCTGCGAACTTGGTGAGTACCGCTGGCCTCCAGGATGCGATGGTCACTACCACCACTCCTGGGGGTCAGCGTGTGACAATCTGCACGTGCACACAGACGGGGCGTCACCTAGCCACGTTCACTCGTCGGCCAGGGTCGAGTCTGTACACACTGGCTACCGAGCCTTCTCAGGTAGCTGCATCTGCTCAGGTATCTTCGTCAGGTCAGGTTCCACCCCCTTGCTCGTGTCGCCTCTTGTCGCACCAGACCCTTCTGTGGCACCACCGCCTGGGTCACCCCTCCCTTCCACGC